CTTGTCTTTTTCTTCTGCTTTTCCTTCAGAAACAACGTTAAAGCAATATGTAAGCAATTCATCGAAGTTAAATTGTCAATTCAATGCACCATGCGCTTGGATGAATGCACCTGATGATGATTTATTGGATACATCGGATTTTTATTTATTTGTCAAAACAAACAGTAAATTATTTCCACCACAAATTCAACCAGGACCATCGGATCCAACAAAAGGTTTTTTATTTAAAAAAAAGAAAAATGAAAAAAAAACTTTGTGCTTTTTTAAAAAGTCAAAAGAGAAATTCTAAAAAAATTCTTCTTTTTCAAAAAAGAAAAAACCAATAATTTAAAAAATTATTATTTACAAAACAAATTTATAACAAAAACTAATCATTGATTTAAAACAAATTAGGAAGGAAAAAAAAGAAAAACCAAATGTTTAAGTTATGACAAGAATTTTTTCGACATAATAATTTTTAAGTTAACTTGATCAGTTTTAAATTGGAAAGCATTTGTTTTCTAAATTATTCTTTTTTGGATAAAATTATTTACAATTTTGAATGAATTTTTGAAGTTATTAAAATCATTTATTTTTAGGTACAAAATTTATTCTTGCTGGTAATACAACAACAAAATCACAATGTGCAGTACTTATTAGTGCACCGATTGCTTGTCAACGAGCTCCTGGATCATTACAATTCAAGTAATTTAATTGAAACATAGAAAGTAATAGTTAAAACTATAAGATGATATAAATGTCAATAGCTTTCTTCAATATCTTTAATTAATCAATTTTTAGAAAAGAAGGAAAAAAAACAATCATTACCTTGAAATTTCATACAATAAACAATATCATAAGGGATTTTTCATATATTTAAAAATTAATTTAAATAAAAATTTGACTTATCCATATAATGCGAAATATTTTAGATATTGGCTATACAATGAAGCAAAAATTGAAGTATTAATTTTAAAGCTTTCTACACGACGGAATCGTCTTCGGGTAATTAATTAGTTTTTTTTTTCTTTCATTCATTGCTCTGGCTATAGACAAGAATTAAAATCCTCATGTTCATTTCATAAAATATAAAAATAAACAAAAAAAGAAAAAAAATGATTATATTTTAAGATTATTCTACGACCGCATACCGAATGCTACTTCATTCGTGCCTTTAATGATCGTTGCAAAGTTGAAATACCGGAAATTACTGAACCATTTCGAATTGGTATTCGTGCCCATGGTTTAAAAGATTCAGCATTGGGTAGTCTCGTGATGATAACTGATATTGAATATAAAGCTGAAATATGTTTGGAACCTAGTGCGTTAATAAAAGTTTTTAAAAAGGAAAAAAAAATCAATTCTTTAACTAAATTATTTTTATAGCTATTTGTAATTTTCTGGCAAAAAAGTAATGATTAATAAACGAAAAAAAAACAAAAAAAAAAGAATCGATTAATTTTGCAGTTCTAACAATTCAGTTAATATTCTTGGATGAATTAATCAAGTACTTTAAAGATAATTAATATATCTTTTGAAATTTAAAAGCTTCAAATAAAATCATAAAAATTTAAAAAATTAAACGTTAATTAATAATTTATTATTAAAAATTTCATTAATTAAACTATACGCAAAAAGAATTTCAAAAATTATAAATGAAATTTAGAATTATCAAAAATCTTTGGAGCTCAAACAATTCCACCATCATTTGTCACATCATATCCAATTACTGCTGCTGAACTTTCTTGTATCGATTACAATACAACTTGTCGTTGGTCCAACAGTCTTTCATCATTAGCTGAATGGAAGATTGGATGGAATCGTCAACGATGGAAGGAAATTTTTGAAACAGAAAGTAAACCAACTGGAAGCTTCTTCTATCAATATGTCGATTCAATCACCCAAAAACCCTATTCATTACTGCAATCGGAACTTGTTCCATGCACAAGTACTGTAACAACTTTTGCCTTTAGGTAAGTTATATTTAAATTTCAATACGTTGACAAACAATTTAATTAGCTAATAATCATAAATTTACAGTTTTATTAAAATTGGAATCTAATTTCCATAATTTCATATTATTATAAAATATCAAAACATAACGATTGCAGCAAAAAAGGCTAAAAGTTACAAATGAACTGATATTTTAAATTAATTATTTATGCCAGTTGCAATATTTACTTATTGAATTTTTAAATTTAAGTATTAATAATAATTTTATTGAGTAAATGGATACATTTGCCCGATAATTAGATGTGTGTTAAATAGAAATTTAATAAATTTCAATTAAAAATTATTTTTATTTACAGATATTGGTTGCAAGCAGGTACACAAGTTCAAGTTTGTACAGTTACTGCATCAAATGTTATAATCAGTTGTGTATACCTAAATGAAATAGCTATGCCTGGACCAATTAGCATTGATATTGATGTACCAACTGAGGAACCATTTCGGGTATGAAATGATAATTTACAAATTACATCAAATAATTGATTTTATTTTTATTACTTATGTAATAATACAAATAGGATAAATATCATTGAAATTATTTAAAATAACTAATAAAATCTTTCATAAACAATATTTGTTTGCACAATTTTTTTTTTTTTTGTTGATAATATTACAAAGCAAAATTTTTTTTAAATTTCATTTTACAGTTCGTATTTGAATTGATCAATTTTGATCATTCAACATTTGGTCTTGTTGTTATTGATGATATGCAATTTATTGGTTTATTATGCCATGAAATAACGATACCACCCACTACAACAATTGATCCGTTACAAATCAAGCAACTTTTCGCACTACAACCATATCCAAATTTGCTAATTGTAAATAAATTAAACTTTACCATTTCATAAATATACAAATTGACATACTTTTTGGAGTATCATTTTAGGTCTTTTTTTTTTTTGATTGATAGGAAATTTTTCAACAAAACATTTCTTTCATACAAATTAAAATAATGGAATTAAATTTTTTATCCAAATTGGAAGAAAAATTGCACAACAATTCTAAGCTATCTGCTTTTTGCTCTTCTCTTATCATTTCATATCAATTGAAAAATTATGCAAAAATTTTTATTTCTATTTCTATTTTTTATTTTATTTATTTCTTACATTTATATCATAGCGATTATTATCATTTGACATTGCTTAAATATGCATTCATTCAACATTATTGTCTTTTTTCATCATTTGTAATGAAAAGGAAGGAATTTTTTTTTTCGGAATGATATTAATCCTTCTGGATTAATCGAGAAGCTCTTCAAGAATGTATTGTTAATTTTAGGATAGTATACCAACATTAAATTGTGATTTTAATCGGAATACATGTCCTCAATGGGAAAATGATGGACATTGGTTACTTGGAACGATTCCATATGATGATTCAATGATGTCATCGTCGTCAATAAAAGGCACAAATTTTTATCGAAATTTTTTAAATTTTTAAAATTTATATAATTTTAAGTATTAGTTATGGGATTATTACATTTCGAAATTAGTATCTAATCAATAACTATATTGACAACATAAGTTAAGTAATTCATTTACATATTTCAAAATTAAATTTCTAATTTTTTTTTTCTGAATAATCATTTCTAGATCAAGCTTCAGTAACTGTTCTCAATAATTCCATGGCTATATTACAATCCCGTAAAGTACCATGTGCATCAAATGCTAAAATTTTCATTGCATACTTCCGAACCGAAAAGGCTAATTTAATGATGTGTATTGGGAAGCACTGTGTTAAAACTAATGATACACGTTCAGGTAAAGTTTTTTAATTCATTATTTAGAATGATTAATTAGACAGTGATAATGATAATAATAGTGATAATGTTAATGATACGAAACAGTAATAATAGCAAGGATGAAAAATTTTCTGGTTTTTCTAATTTTCGGTTGGCTTTCGATGAATGTTAATCGTAAGAAACCATTTTTCATTCGATTAATTGCGAAGTCAACTGGTCCTGGTCTTGTTGTTATTCGAAAAATAAAAACAACTGGTAATTGGTGTCCACTTTTAACATTATCACAATATGCTTGCGAAAAACTTAGCTGTACATTTCGACAAACATTTTGCGATTATAAAACGGAAACAAATTCACGTGCCAATATTTTATTCAAAAATAACACAAAAGGTAAATTTGGTTTTTTTTTCACAAATCAATCAATAATTTCTATATTTAATTATTATATTCTTTTAAAATTTTATGAACACTTTCTATATTACATTTTTTCTTCTAATATTATATTAATTAAATATTTTCATACGAATTATTTGTGCATTAAATGAAGAGTTGTCATTAATTAACACATTAACATTTGATAGTTTAAATTTGCATTTAATTGAATAATTACAATGAACAGTAATAGTAATAGATTCTGAACCATATTTAATATTATAAAGATTAATTCTATCATTTATTTTTAATGTATTCAGGAGTAACAGCAGATATTGACAAAGGACCAGGTTTAGCCGTATTACGATCACCACAATTTAAGCTTTCACGTCCAGTTGAATTACAAATTAAGGTTAGCTTTTTGAGTTTTCAATTAGTCTAAAAATTAATTTACAGATTGATATAATTACATGATGAATGTTTAGAACGTTAACAGCAGCTAGTTTTTTTAAACTTTTCCTCTATTTTTTCCACTTTCTTTTTTTTTTTGAGGTAAGAAAGGAAATAATCTAAAAAAAGGGTCATTAATTATTAAAAGCAATCTTTGACCTCACCAAACATCCACAATTTGCGGAAACTTACCAAGTGAAGAGTTGTTTACACCTCAATTTTCCTGATTATCTTCTTTCTAATCCCTACAAAAAAAAAAAAACAAAAATCTTTCCTACAAAGGGATTAAATTAAATAAACAAAGAAAAATAGGGAGAAAAGGGATTAGTGAAGGGTAAGTGAAGTTTTTTTCTTTTTATTATGTTGAATTTCATTTCATTTTGGGACTGAAAAACATCATACCATATTAATTACCTTGCAATATTAATTCTGTACTTATTAATTACACATTAATGCTTTCAAAAACTACCATATGTTAGTTGAATTCAAATTGTTTTTCTAATTTTCAGGTATATCAGTCAACATTTGGTTCTCAGACGTTCTTGTGTGATGATAATTTTAGCACTTTATTTGATTGTCAACCGATATTAGGACCAAAAATAGAATTGCCAGTAACAGAGAAAGTAATCCTACCACTTGATCAGGATGCTCAAAATTTCACAATTCTTGCAGTGCATGATAAATTTGTTGAATTTGGTGCGGCAAAATTTATCATTTCAAATATTGAAGTGCTAGATGAAAATGGCGATTTATTATGCTAAACAGGATGATCTTAATCAATTTGTCCTTTCAATCCTAAAATGGATGTAAATCATTGAAAAAGTAAACAATGTTGTTTTTTTTCTTACCTATAACAAGGAGAGAAATTTACAAAAACAATTAAAATTAAAATGTAACTGAAAATGTTAAAATTTGATAAAGTTTGAATTCAGATCGATCAAACCAGGATGAAACTTAAAATTCTGTTAAATTATTTTAAAATTTTCATTCTTATTTTTTCTTCCTTACTTACTTTATTCCGGATCCTGTAATCTTTCGGTTTATTTCCACATTTTTCCAAGTTGCTGCCTCATTTGAATGTCATAATAACAGCTTCTCTATTTGTCATTAAGTTTTAATTTTTAATTAATTTATTGCACTTTGTTAATTTATAAGTAACAGCTCTTGTTATAACATATGTATTGCTAGCTATAAGCCATGTGAAGTTTTAAATTTCATAGCAGGAAACATTTTTGATGTCTACATTTAACAAAAAAATAAAAAGTAAAAAATTTGCCCTTTTCACATACAATGTTTAAATGTAAGATTTTGTGGTATAAATTAATAGATGAAAATGTCAACGATATCTGGTGACAAAAACGATTCCTAGTGAATATTTCATAAACAGAAAAGGGATTAGTGTTAAGCTTATTTTTATTGATAAATAAATCTCTCATTTTAGCAGCCACCTGATTGCATAGACTTTTAACTGTGTTATCAAATTTTGGGACATTTTTAGCTGTTTTGAAACTAGTTTTATGTTCAATTTTAACTTCTATAATTCATATATTACAAATGAAAAAAAAAAAAAAAACGTATGATAAATGAAAATAAAACTGTCAATGAATATTTTTCAAACAAAAAAAAAAAAAAAAAAAACTAAAAAATTAAGACTAAAATATCCTAACAAACGATGATTAAAATATTAATTAACTGCTAATTGAAAATTTGAATCATACAGTTGGGAAAAAGATTGACATTGGTGAAAAACTCTTTTCAAGTTAAATTGTACA